GTAGCACCCCTTCTTACTAATCTCTCCCACTTTTTATGCGTAGAGTAAATTGATAGAACTAGAAGACTTAAGAAGTTAGTGCACTATACAAGGCATTTAAAGGGAATATGCAATAAAGTACTTCTCAGTCATCTTAAAGATTAAACATGTACAATAGATATGCTGAAGCGATAAATTTATTATATACATACTTTGAAAGTCATCGACCTCAGCTAGCCAGCCTATGAGACATTATAAGCCAAAAGCATCATCTAAGTGGCCTTTCCAGTTCAACTGCAGCAATTCTATTACACAGTCAATTTGAAAACTTCTTCTTCAGCCAATATGACGCAAGTTTGCAACATTAGATGACTCCACTTGAAATTTAACTTGGGCCGTATCATTCAGGTTGACTGAGCTACCGACTTTTCATCGGTTGGAATCTGTAACTCCCGTCCTGCTCCAAATTCATATCATAAACTTCAGAATGTGAACTCCCGGATCGCCTCGAACCCTTGCCTCTTCCATACTGTCTACTTCCATTGTGCACCTGAGGACCAGGAATTCTTTTTCTTCTATCCAACCCAATTTGTCCTGGATTCGACTTTGTGGATCCAAACGCCTTAGAAGACTCGAGGTTTCTTCCATTCCCCCGATTCCTGAATCTACCGTCGTATGTTTTTCCTTTTCCCCCATTACTACTTGATGGAGCCAAGGCATTCGTGGGATAAGAATCCTCTGTTTCTGAGTCATCTTCCCCTTCACTCACTGACCCACTTCTCAATATCCGGTTAGAAGACCTTCGGTAAGTCTCATAATCACCTTCTCGAAAACCAGTCGCAATTTCATTTCCAGCTTCTGAATCCAAACTCAAAGAATCCTCCGATCCAGTAATACTTCTATACGGCTTTACACTGTGAACCACCCCTTTCGGGAAAAACCTAGCCGAAGGTAGTTCGTCAACCGTCTCAAACAATTGAGGGCCATCTCTTTCCGTCCACAAATCGAATCCACCAGGCCTCTGAAACCTATCCGCCAAGACCTTCACCTGCTCATCGGCGCTTACGGAGAACAAGTTGGGAGCCTTCTCCACAACCTCCCACGGCCGCTCCAGCTCGGAGACAGCGGCCTTAAGCTCAGCCCGCTTACGCATCTCATATATCTGGCGTTCGCGGCACAGTCGGGCCTTAAGCAGCTGCTTGGCTTTCTTGGCCTGCATCCGCTTCCACTGCCACTTCGACACTCCGCCCGGAAAAGTTCGAGGACCTCCACCCATTCGAATAAGCGTTGTGATCCTCGTAGCGATCGGTATCCGATTTGGTAAGTAAGAGAGGTGATTTGGACCATTAAGAGATTGAGAGAAAGAGAATAAGAGCGGCCGAGGAGGGTTCGGAATTGCGAGTGAGATTGAAAAAATTGGCATTTCTTCGTCGATCCTACGGAAATCGAAGAAATTAAGCGGCACGGGAAAGCCCTAATTGCAGATTGCAGAGAGCAGCAAAACTGTGGAGGAGGAGGCGGCGAGATATTCACTGTTGCAGAGATGGCGGTACCGGGTGGCGGGTAGGATATGGTGGGCCAGAGGGACGTCTTCAGGATTTTGGGCCGAATACTGAGTAGCCCATTACTGAAAAGGGCCAATGGGCTTGTAGTATTTTGAGAATGTTTTTTAAATTAATAGATTTTTCTAAAAAGAAATGTATATTTATTAAAAACTCATTTAATAACCCATTTATGTGTAGTTTTATATTTTTAAAGGACTAATTTATTTTCCTCTCAAAAAAAAAAGGACTAACTTGTTTATTTAAAATTTTCTTTTTTTTGTAATTTATTTTTTAAAAATTAAACTAGAAACAGATTTATTACTAGTTTGATTTTAAAGAAAGATAGAGGAGAGGCATTGCCTTCAAAGTCTTAAATTTAAGAAAATATGTAAAAATTAAAATGATTTTAAAATTTTATTGTCTTCTACGCTTTTATCATTTGAAGACTATATATTTAAAAAAATTTAGAAAACTTTCCCCTTCAAAATTTTCATAATTGAAAAATTATAAAGGTAGAAAACGTTAGAAGGTATCCCCTTTAAAAATTTGTGGAATGGAAATCAATTAATCGGACTTTTGAGATAATAATAATGTCTTACCTACTAAATTATGCATGGATTATTTTTTCGTTTCTTTATTGTATACTAAATTATGTTTCAGATGGACTACTTTTTTGTTTCTTCATTGTAAACACATCACGAAATATGTATAAGTCGTAACATTAATTCCCAAATGTGACTTCATCGTAGCTTCTAAAACACAATTTTAAGGAAAAAAAAAAGGAAAAAAATCATATTGAAAACAATCTCTCAATTAAATTGGATATTTTATACGGATCCGCGTTGTCTCTTTGCCTAAATTGTTGAAAATCTGCAGTCCAGTACTGTACAGTTCATAATTTCAACAATGAATATTGATAGAAAAGTTTCTGCTAAAATATCAAATTGTGGCAGTAGAAAAAACAATATTCAAATGTTAATTTAAAAAATAGAAAAAGGAAAAAGAGAACATGTTGCTTCCAATATAATGGACAATCTATGAGCAATGGTGGTTTGTTAATTATAGAATAATGGAGCTTGGTTGCTAAATAATTATGAACAACGGCAACATGTTTTCAATTTACAGAACATGATCTGATATGCAGGCTGTAGATTCCAGGTTGACCCTCTTTGAAGTTGAGAACACTGTGTCTTCGTTTATTTTTATTTTCTTTTTTCTTTTTCAACTGGACTGTCGCGGGAATAAGAGTAGTGGATCGAACCCAATTACATCAAGATAATAATAAATGACTTATTCATTTTAGATATACTCACATTGGTTCTTCCTTTATTGTGATTTGTAAGGCAAATTGCAAAAATCTATATTCGTACGTGTGAACCAAGTTGCAGACACCTTGACTAATCTCACTACCTAACCCTACAAGATTATTTGATGCTGGAAACACATGGAAATTAATTCCTAAAGTAGGTATACAGTTATTTATATTTCATGAAGCTTTTAAATGAAAATTTTAATTGTCAAACTTACGTAAACATACGTTGAAAGGGTTGCTAAGAAAATGAACAATGAACCATCTATATCACAATTATATGATATTGTCCATTTTAAGTCTAAGTGGCTTTGCTTTTAGTTTTACCAAAAAGTATTGTACCAATAGAGATGTTGTCGTTCATTTATATACCAATGATTTTGTTTTTATCTAACTAATATGAGACATTCGTTACATTATTCCCGATGTATACATTTCAAATTTCAATGATATTGGTCGTATTTTTTAGATCATTCTTAGTTCCTAACTCTTCTTATTGGTTTCTTTAAACAATAACTAAATTAGTTAATAATGTCTTTAACATAAAATTATGAAACTGTGTTCACTTTGGCAGCTTCTTAGGTTATAATTACCTTAACCTTAAGCTTTTGTTTAGTTCTTACGGCTTTAAAATTTTCATTAGCATCCCCTGTTAGTATATATGCATCATACTTAAAATCTAACAAAATTAGCCCAACAAATATCATTAGGATGCAGTAAAAAAACATAACTACCCTTTGAATTTTTATTTTTCAACTAAATTAATGCTCAAAGCCTAACCTAAATCAAGTTTTTCATCCAACGAAACAGAGTAATTAAGGCATCAACCTCTATAAAAGAGAGTAGATTTGAATCTACCACTTATTAGCTTCATCATTCCATAAAATAAAAATTTTCAAAAAAATTTATGTATATTGATAAAGGTAAAATTTCGCCTAGAGAACACGTCATCGATAGTTCGGTAGGAAGCCACGCATATGGACCTTGCAAGACAAGAGTTCAGAAGCCAATTCAGACAACTTATGTAATAGAATTGCCGAACTTAATTATTTACGTTACATGAATATTCAAACTTGGTTCCAACATTCAAATAAATAACTATGCAACCATATCTCATCCTTAATGCATGTTTCGCATTCTTAAATGTCGAAGATAACCGTGATTGTGAATATGTTGTTATCTGAACTTTCTATAAATATCCATAAATTAAAAGAAAAAAACATGTGAATACCTTCGAGTGCTAACTCCTTTATTTTGCAAGATTTTATCTTCGAATACTTTTGGAGATCTTATTAGTTTAATCGAACTTTTTCGATAAAAACGTATACTACAAGAGAAAATCATAGATCTTGCCGCCAAGATAAAAGTAAAAACCATACACATAATAAGAAATACTGCAAAAGAAAGATCAAAAGTTTCGAGTTGAGCCCATCCATGGAAAAGACACCCATCTCTAATACTACCTCCCCATGTAATTACGAAAGTTAACACTAAAATATGGAAATTAAAAATGAAATTTAACCAAAAATAATGTACTTTTCAATAATTAAAAAGCTAAATATAGCTATCAATTCATTACAGCTTACATATAAACACATAAATGATCTTGTTCCCTGAATTGCAATCTTAGTTGTATTTCTTATATTTCCAACATCACCCCACACGTGTATCTCCCTAATTTTCCTGCATTCCCCAAACAGTGCCAATTAATTTTATTAATTAAAAATCGGCCCCTCCTTCTCCGCGGAACTTTCCTCCGCTCCCCACTCCGATATCGGATCTCTTCCTATTTATTCCCCGTCGCCACAACTCTGTAATCGCAGCTCAAAAAAATGGCTCGATTTCTATTCATTCTCTTCATCTTCGCCAATGCATTTCTGAATTCCGTCGTCGTCGTCGGTGCCGAGTTCGGAGCCGCTCCGTCGCCGATCTCGACCGGAGCCGAAACGCCTTCCGCTAGAAAGCTCGGGAAGCACCGGAGTGCGGCGGCTGTTTCTTCCGGCTCGAGTCCGTCTGAAGCGCCGCGGAGCGAAATGAAAGTTCAGGCGACCTCGGCGGCGGCGACGAACGGAGGAGATCATCAGCATCACAATCACAAGGCGAGCGATAAGTCAATCGCCGGCGGCGGCGTGATTTTGGGTGGACTCGCCACCACGTTTCTGGTGGCGATTATCTGCTACATTAGGGCAACGCGGAGATCGAACTCAGAAGTGAAGTGAGGGTTTGAGACGACATGTCGGTCTTGGTCTTTCACTTCGACGCGTCGTTGGTTGGTTTGGTTGTAACTTGTAATTGTAATTATCATAAACGTGAAGCTGAAAATACTAAAATAATATTATATCTTCTAGTGCACGTGGAATGTAAATTATTTACTTTTGATGATCTAAATTAAAAAAAGGTAAATTATCATTCAAATTTTCCAATTAACTACTAATAAAACATAACTTATGGTCGTTTTTTTTAAGGATAACTTATGGTCCCCTTTACACCACCCACCCCATAAAAATTTGATTATGTGAATACACTTACCATTAAATGTGATTTAATTGTTAAAATACAAAAGTGATTTGATATGATATACATTTTTTGATTTTATATAATAAGGAAAAATACACTCTTATCTCTGACGTTTGAGTTGAGTATCTATTTAGCTATGAGGTTTGAAAATAGACATTTTTAGTCTGAAGTTTAGAAAATAATTCAAAATAGGTCTCTAAGTTGTTAGTTGATTAACGGAGATGAGGTGACAAATTTTTAATGAGTTGTAAATTTTTATTAGTTTTGGATCAGATTCGAGCAATGAGGGGAGTTCAATTTGCGGTGGTGTTGTTTTGTTGGTTCTCGGCGTTTTAGCCTCCTTCTCGCTTGCCAATGCCGCCAATGTGACGTATGATCACCGGGCGTTGGTGATCAACGGCAAGCGGAGAGTCTTGGTTTCTGGATCTATACACTATCCTCGCAGTACCCCGAGGTTTGTTTTCTTCATTCTCCACACTTCAATGTTTCTGTTTGAATCAGTCTTGAGTTTATACCTCTGGAATCTTCAGATGTGGCCGGACCTTATTCAGAAATCGAAGGAGGGAGGTTTGGATGTAATCGAGACTTATGTGTTCTGGAATTTACATGAACCAGTTCGAAACCAGGTACATTTTGCGAATTCTTCGATCCAAGAATCGCGTCTTGGTTCTATGCGAATTCTTGGAAGATATTTGAGAAATCTGTTCACCGTTGATTTGTGTTTTTCATCTCTGGGAAAAGCTCGGGGATGGATGGAACCTTTCTGTCTTTTGTTTTCAATTTTTCCGTCTTCTTACGCTTTCTCGCCTACCAAACAGTGGACAAGTATTATTTATATGATTATTATATAAAATGTTGTGATTCTTAATCTCACCATTAATTAAGAAAAGCTTCATGACATTTGACCAATTTTGCTTAATTAATAAAAGCCAGAGGGAAGAAAATAGACCTAGTGAATTTTCCGTTCGGTGGGTGGGATAGAAAATTTTGCAAAAATGAGATTTAGAGACAGCCGGCAACACCTAGCCGGAGAAGACGAAGAAGAATAGGAAGAGGAAAGGGAAATTGAGATTTTTGACCCCTTTCAATAACCCCTTTTTGATTTTTACCTATTTATGACCCTTCCACCTCAGATTTCTGACAACTCCCCTTATTTTACTTGGTAAAATTACCAAGTTACCCTCAATTTAAAAAAAGAAATCAAACACAGCCCTCCCCTCCTTTCCCTCCCTGTCTCGGTCCTTCCCTTCCCTCATTCACTATCTCGTTGTCCAACCCAGTCTTCATCCCGGTCTCTCCCTCACAACCAGAAAGTTCATCTCCGTCGTTTCTTCTTCGTCTCCCTCACTTCGTCTCTATCAGAGCTTTCC